AAAACAATAACACAACAATAACAAGATATTGTCTGACCGCATGTTCCAGCTATTTATGAATGAGTTGCTCAGTCTATATTTTATTGTAAGTCTATGGGTTTGCACGTAAACAAAATTCCCAAGTTTTTTATTCTAGGTGCTACAGATGCCTGGCGCACTATTGCCGGACCCTGTATATTTTGTATATTATTTCGCTGTTTGAAAATTTACAAATAAGTATTTCTTACATAATGCTGAGTAATTTAGGGTATAAGCAACCCTAAAAAGGGACCACAGTGTCCTAGTTTTAGGACAATTCTCTCTTAAGAAAAAGGACATCTCTTTGGATGTCCTTGCTCTACTTAACTGAAACTCGTCCTGAATAACAAACAGATTTTATGTGCCTTTCAGGGCCATTTTCTCTACTATTCCTCTTTCCTATTACAATTATCATAAAATAAAATAACCGCGCGTATATACATATTGTTTTTCTACTTTGTAGCCTATAAAGTCCATAATTTTTTTCATTTTTAGTCAATAAAAAGTGTATAAAGTTGAATAAATTTGTTAAAAATTCTTTATACTCTAACTTGCGTATACCCGCGACTTCGTTCGCGTCGAATTAATCATTTGTAATGGTGATGATAAAGCAAAGCAAGAATTTCCATTAACATACAAACTGGATAAAATTTTCTCACATTTATGTCAGCATGAGAAAAAACAATATGGCGATATTATTATACAGGGTTGTTCACCACATACGACACGGAGTATTGTAGCTAAACAATTAGATTTTTACAAATTGTAAGTTTTGGGTTCGTTGAAGGACTATTAGGGCTACAATTTAAAAATATTTTTACAAGATACAGAGTGTCCCAAATAAATAAAAAATATCAAAGTTGTATTTTTTTAAATGGGACACCCTGTATATTATTGCATTTTTAGTTTCTACGATTAAAATAAAGGTAAATTTGATTAAGGTTTATTACACTTAAACCTTACCGTTTTTGAAATATTTTCAATTTTGTGAAATTGCAGTATACATTTTAAGGCTTTATTTCTCCGAGGGTATCAAAGTTTTTAATACTAAATATTTACTGAAGTATATTTATTGATCAGTTATTGTGTTGCAATAATTAAAATGATACTACCTTATACAGAGTGTTTAAAAATTTATTTTATATAATTACTAGCTTTAAACGGCAATAACTTGTTTAATTTAAATGGAACACCCTGTATATTTTATGAGAATAAGATGCACAATTTAATTGTCTATCAAATGGTTTTATACCACTTTTTACCTATCCCATCAAGTTTTCGTAGAAAATGGATTTTCTTATAATTTAGACATCATTTATCCATATACCCATGGAATATTGACATTTTAGATTGTTTTTAAAACAACAAATGTACAAAATGTACAGGCTAGTAATATTATCGTTTTTATTAAAACGATAATATTACTAGCCCGTTTGTATGCAAAAAGAAAACTATTTAAATCTTTATAAAAGAGTATACCATTAATTAAATATACCACCAGTATTTCCGTCCAAATACTAATTAATTACATACTTAATTGTGTTCGTTAATAAATTATTCTAAATAAATGTGGATTTGAATCAGAAATCAATATAATAATGTTATGAAAATGAACGTCTCCGTTGTTATAAATAAGCATTTGTCAAAAAATTAATATCATTTTTAAGGTGTTAGTTTTTTTACCACACTGTCTAATACACATACATAATTCAGTTTTTTAGTATTTGGAGCAATTATTATTAATCAACGCAAACAGTCAGTTACTGTAGTTTGAATACTGGAATCATATTAATTGGTCCTCTTTAACAAATATTTAAACAGTTTTTTTATTTTTTAATGAAACGAACTGTATCGACAATATTAGTATCTGTACTCTTTAAAAATTTGGTACATCCTCAAAAATAATCTAAAATGTCAGTATTCCATGGGTATATTGATAAATGAGTTCTAAATTACAAGGAAATGCATTTTCTACGGAAACTTGAAGAGATAGGTAATAAATGGCATAATACAATTTGATAGATAATTAAATTGTGCATCTGGTTCTCATAAAATATACAGGGTGTTCTATTTAAATTAAACAAGTTATTGCCGTTTAAAGCTAATAATTATTTAAAATAAATATTTAAACACTCTGTATAAGGTACTAAAATTTTTATTATTGCAACACAATAACTGATCAATAAATAAACTTCAGTAAATATTTAGTATTAAAAACTTTGAAACCCTCAGAGAAATGAAGCCTTAAAATTTTTACTGCAATTTCACAAAATTGAAAATATTTCAAAAACGGTAAGGTTTAAGTGTAATAAACCTTAATCAAATTTGCCTTTATTTTAATCGTAGAAACTAAAAATGCAATAATATACAGGGTGTTCCATTTAAGAAAATGCAACTTTGATATTTTTTATTTATTAGGGACACTCTGTATCTTGTAAAAAGATTTTTAAATTGTAGCTCTAATAGTCCTTCAACGAACCCAAACCTTACAAGTTATAAAAATCTAATCGTTTAGCTACAATACTCCGTGTCGTATGTGGTGAACAACCCTGTATAACTTGGTAATATTTGAGGGGTAGTTTCATCTCGTTGGAATTTGACTTTCGAAAAATCCAAATCCGTTTGCCAACAATAAGCTTTTTACGTCAAGAAGTTTAAGCAGAATCGTGTGGTTAATCAATTACCTAACTTTTTGGAACATCCTGTATGATTTTTTTAAAAATTTCAAAATATGTAAAAAAACAAAATAAATTATGCGTGTCCAAGCGTTTTCCCGAAAGACTAACTGTTTTTTAAATAACAAATATCGTAATATTTAAGGGACGTTTTCAACCTCTTGGAATTTAAGATTCGAGAAACCACTCCTTATCGAACCTCTACACCCCACAGTCAATCCGTTTACCAAAAATCAGCTTTAAACGTCAAGCAGTATAAGCAGAATCGTGAACACCCTGTATAAATTTTTTAAAAATCTTAAAATATGTAAAACAACAAAATAAAATATACGTGTTTAAGAGTTTTTCCGAAAAATTCACCGGCCTTTAAATAAAAAATATTCTAATATTTGAGGGGTGCTTTCACCCCCTTGGAATTTGAGTTTCGAAAAATACCTTCTTATCGAACCTCCACACCCTAAAATCAATCCGTTTTCCAAAAATCAGCTTTTTACGCCAAGCGCTTTAAGCAGGATCGTGATTAATCAATGACCAGATTTTTCGAAACACCCTGTATACATTTTTCAAACATCTTAAAATATGTAAAAAAAACAAAACAAAATATACGTGTTTAAGCGTTTTTTCGGAAACTTGACCGTTTTTTAAATAAAAAATATTGTAATATTTGAGGGGTGATTTCACCCCCTTGGAACTGGAATTTCGAGAAATCCCTTCTTATCGAACCTCTACACCCTAGAATCAACCTGTATGCCAAAATTGAGCTTCTTACGTTGAGTGGTTTGGGCAGGATCGTGATTAATCAGTGAGTCAGTCTCTTAAGGATTCTATGTTCTTCAGACACATCAATACTCCAACTTAACAAAAGAAAATTTTCCATATTTCATTCCGAGTAATTTTTCTCCCTTTTCTTATTTTCCTACCTCACTTTTTCCCTTTTAAATCAAAACGAATTTCACTGAGATTTCTGTCTCCCTGTTCTCGAGAAGCCTTATAAAAAGGGAGGCTCTATGTAAAACCTCTGTGGGTAATTGGATTTCGTTGTTTGAGCTGGATAAACAAAAGGAAATGGAGCCTCTATAGAAATTCTAGGAGCAAAGCTGAATTTCATAAAGAGCTGCGTGGTTTTAAGGCTCTTGAACCTAATTAGTTGTTCAAATTAGACTTTGTTGTAACCACAGGTTGTAACTTCTACAAATCACGCAATTTATATGGTTTCATGATAAAAAGATGAGAATAAATCTGAACATACCGTGTGGTGCATCGGAACACGGGACAGAAAATCCCATGTAAATTTTGCAAAGGCCAAATATTATCTTCCCAGATGATTTTATGCAAAAATAAAAATTGTATTAGACTTTTTTAAAGAGGCGTTAAAGTTGTACTTTAGTGTAGAATGTTGTTTCGTTTGGAATAGTCGTTTAAAAGTTATTTGCAAAAATCTACCTTCAAATTGCTATTTGTAAATTTTTAATTTACAATACGGCCCAGAGAAAGCTACAATTAAAATACCAGCAAAAATATGATTTTGTCATTGTCAAATTCGATGTCACATTATTTTTTGTTTCCCAAGCAGCATTTGGACGTCGGGACAACGTTGTGTCACGCGACCAAACGTCGGGGCGCAACGTCGGCACAACCTCGTGCCAACCCTAGTCTGCACTAGTTTGGAGAATAATTTTTGGGTCGAAACGACGTTGGCTAGAAGCCTAATTTAGTACAAACTGCAACGTTGTTTAAAATCCTAATTCACAGAAATACAAAACTAATATGGCGTCTCAGTCGCGTTTTATCCTAAATTGGGATAATTATAGTAAAAATATTATTTTTATGATTTAGTTAGAGACATATGTCAGATGGCAGTGAAGGAAAACAAAACAAAAGTATTTAAGTGTGGAGGATGTTTGAAGATCATAATTATTGAAACACTTTAACCGACTCTGTAACTCGTTACCCAAGACAAAAAAGTTAAAAGCAAACAACTTTATTGATAAATGTATTGTTTCTACTTTGAAAAATACTAATGGGCCTTAAAATTAAAGAAGTTTTAAAAATTATCTTGAATTTTTTTTTTAGTAAAATGAGAATAATTTATTCGCAGTCGAAAAAATTGTTTCCGCGTGTTTTTTAGGATCAAATATTTCAAGTTAATGTATTCAAAAAGCAGGAATTGCTATTTTAGGAACGAAACATTTTCTTATTTAACAACAACTTACTCGGACAACTTTTTACTGAAACTTTGCCTTATAATTTCCTTGATGCATAAATAACTAAAACAATATAGATTGAACAAATTGATAGATATCTTACCTAGTTTTATTGACAAGTTCCTTGGCAATACCCTGTCCCCTGTAAGCTCCATTTACTGACAGGATTTTGACAGTTACCGTCTTGTCGAACTCTGGAAACCTGGCAAAAATATCCGATTCTTTGCCCACTCTATCCAGCAGCCTTATGATTTTACTGAATTTTGGATCCGTGACTTTGTAGTCATCCTCTTTGTCTAAGTAACCTAGAAGAGGAAAATCGTATTAAATTTTAAAAAGAACACTTTCAATAATGATCGTGTTTTAGGAGTAATCCTAAGGGATAAGGGTAGATTACCTCTAATTTTTGTTTCATCCAGTTTGTGTGATGTAACGCTGTTTCGGGTAGTAAAAATTAAGTGAAAAAGAACCCGAACTAGCCATCGCGTTGTGTTGTGACAATTTCAAATGATAATAAAATTGTCGAAAAAATGTTAACGCGTAAAGGAGCGCGTGTGCAATAACATTCAATAACTCAACTTTCCCGAATATTCGATCCTTCCGAATCAACATTTTATAGATTCACAACTTCTCACACCGATTTGATCAAAAGCAAAAATGGATTCAAGCAGTTCGACGAAACAAGTGAGAAAACAAAATATCCATTACATGATCACAAAATTAAATAGGCATGTACTATGAGACAGTAGCGGCTCGTAACCATTAGAACTGATGAGGCGACGCAAACGCGGACGAAAACAAAAAGACGGGGGGGAAGGGGGATCTAAGCTGCAACAAGTTTAATTTTTTTTGTTCCTCAGATATAATATATTTGAAGGTTTAACCTACTAAAAATGTCATAAGAACTTTTTTTTGTTTTTATGTGTTTATTTTCTTTTTGTTTTTTTAAGCAGCTAAGCAACAATAAGTTAGAGATTTGTTTGCTCCTCAGATATAATAAGTTTGTAAACATAACTTATTAAAAAAGTCATCATCGGAACTGTTTCTTTATTTTTTTTTCCCTCAGAGTATAAATAATATAACTTAAACATATATTAGGTATTAGCTAACTAATCTAATGATCTTAATATAACAGTTCTAATTTGAGGTTTTCGTTCGGTTAGTAAGACGGAATTTGTCACATCAAGCTCTACGACGCGCGACGCGACGACATAAATAAGAAACAAACAAGTGAAAAATAGTTAAAAAATGTAATTGTATAAGAATTATTCCTTGTAGGTTAAGTTTATTCGTCTGTCTTTAAGAATAGCAAATTTATCAATTATGTCATCATAAAACTTCCCTTCGTTCTCACTAAGGGTAACCAACAGCTCTTTTTCAATTGAAAATAAAGACAGCAGAAAGTCTATCTTGTAACATTGTATTTCTTAATTAAGATTTTATCCGTTTTAGACAAGAAAAATCCCGCTCGACTTGAACACTTGTAATCGGGATTGTTAATTTGTCTTTTTATCATTTGTTACAACACTTATCTGGGGAGTAGGTCTGTTTTCCTGTAAGACCTCTCGCTTTTCATCCTCCTGTCTTCTTGAAAACGGGGTTTCTTGAAGGGACATCACAATGTCATGTACATGATTCATTTTAAAGTCTGATTATTACAAAATAAATCACTAAACTCTGAATTACGGCTAGATCACACTACTTGCTACTCACAAAAGCATAAAACAAACCGACCGAACAGACGTGACGTTTAGTAATTCCCCGAAATATCTAAAGTTAATTATTTTGGCCAGTATTGCGTGGATGCCAAGAGTTCATATTATTCAAATTTATTCTATACTCTCTTCGATATGCGATATTATTTCCATAATTATTGATGGGGTATTTCGTGAAGATCAATTAATAGATTAATTTTAATTACAAAGAGCATTATAATATCGCATTATCCAGCCATATCAAGCACGAACTATTTTTGAACTTAACAATCAAGTTTGTAAAGAATGGATTTTTTTTCATGAATCTGGCAACAGCGTTGCACTTAAGCGATTTGGCTGTCGCCTCTGCTACAGCTAATTTCACGCTTTCCCTCCGCTTCCCCGACCAACTGATTTCAATGTGTGACGTTTTAGTTCATTGATAAAAAAAGGTCGGCAGAGGCGGCAAAAATTACGCCTCAGGAACACAGAACGAAAAGATGCATTGTAGTCCAGTTAAAACAGAAACGATATGGCGCGATCGGTTGGTTTAGACCAGTCGAAAAGTAAAAAGCTTGGTATATTTTAATAAAATTATTCAATATTAATATTGATACATAAATATACGATTAGCTGGAAATAAATTTGTGTACTACTAAAAGATAGAATTTCGAGGTGAGGCGGCGCCTCAGTTGCCTCACCTGACGGGCCGCCACTGCTATGAGAGGATAAAATATAATTTGCAATATTAATGGTATACTTTTTTTTTAACTAGTGCTTATAGTATATTGTGCAACTAGTGCGAAAAGTTGTCGATCGCCCACAATTCTCTCGAGTGGGCAATCGACAACTTCGCACGAGTAGCACATACTATTTTTTATTACGTTGCTTTTTAATGTGTCTTTTGTTATATTTCATCATGTAAACAAAAGAGACTTATTAAAAAGCAAAAATTACTTTAAAAATCTCGTGACAAGAAAAACTTTTGGAACACCCCATAGATGAATGCAAAAGATGACATTAAAAACTTCAAATTTTTAAATCGGATTTTAGAGTAGAAAATGAAGGAATTTTGATGTTGCTTCTTAATAATGGTGTTTAATAATAATTTGTTTACCATGATGAAATAAAATAAAAGATACATATTAAAAAGCAACGTAATAAAATAAACAAAAAAATAAAAAAATATTTAAATGTCAACCTCACTTCTTTAATTTTGACACTTCGAGACTGTCTTTTTTGCTTGTCAATTTGCGTGTGCCAATACTGCCAATGAAAAATTGGGTGCGAGAAGTTTATTTGTCGCAATCTTTGAATAAGAAGACTAAGGAAGGAGCATATCAAAAATCTTAGGTACACAGCGATGGGCCTCAAATATGGCCGACTTAAATTCCGGTTTATCAGTGTCGTTCTAATTTTATTTAAAAAATGTAAAACTATGATGTAGGGTAGACGTGGGGTAGACTCAATAATTTGTTGTTTTATTTTACGTTGTGAATAAATGTTGGTGGTTATTAAAATTGTTATAATAATATATAATTCTAATAAAAATAGATAAGTTATAATAAGTATTTATTAACACAAACATTGTGCGTGGTGCTAAATTCTTTGACATCTAATCTTTGACAAGTAATAAATAAAAGCTAAAATGCAAGGAAAAGATATAATTTAGTTAATTTAAGTGAATTTCATAAATGATCGGTTTACTACACGTATGTATATTATATAGTCACTTACTAGCGAAAAGTTGTTCCATTATTTCACTCAATTTTTGCCGAGATCTACCGCACGCTACACAACCAACTATTTTAGAGTCTTTTTCGATAAATCGCGTTAGTGTCACTGTTAATTTAAGTTCTGCCACAATTTCCATCTAGATTTACTACCTTTATACAACTATCAGTAGTAGAATAAATAATAAATGACATAAAATAAGCTCCGTAAAGAATGACAAATCCACAAAATTTCAAATCAAATTCAAATGTATACCTCCTAACACTTTTAGAATAATTATACAGTATGTCCCCGGATTGTCTTTACAAGAGGAAAAAAAACTTTTTTATTTTTAACATTTTGCGAAAAATGTATTCTTCATAAAAATTTTTGCTTGTTCCAAAACGGTTAATCCCGTTTATATACTTCTCCAAATTTCCATACCGTTTTAGAGCAAATTAAAAAAAACATGAAAATATGTTTGAATTTTTCAACCATATTTTCATTGCTGAAGTCCTAAAAATCAAAAGGCGTTTCTATGGTAATATCAATTCGATTTATTTCTTTGATAGATGGTTATTATCAAACTTTGAATAAGAAGACTAAGGAAGGAGCATAATGCTATCCATGTATTCATGCATGGTGGGCGGAAAAGCCACCATAAAAGCTCTCTAGGGTGGGGATCCTTGACAGTTCTGTTTGACGATTCATTTGACACATTTGAATTTGATTTGAAATTTTGTGGATTTGTCAGTCTTTACGGAGCTTATTTTATGTTATTTATTATTTATTCTACTACTGATAGTTGTATAAAGGTAGTAAATCTAGATGGAAATTGTGGCAGAACTTAAATTAACAGTGACACTATCGCGATTTATCGAAAAAGACTCTAAAATAGTTGGTTGTGTAGCGTGCGGTAGATCTCGGCAAAAATTGAGTGAAATAATGGAACAACTTTTCGCTAGTAAGTGACTATATAATATACATACGTGTAGTAAACCGATCATTTATGAAATTCACTTAAATTAACTAAATTATATCTTTTCCTTGCATTTTAGCTTTTATTTATTACTTGTCAAAGATTAGATGTCAAAGAATTTAGCACCACGCACAATGTTTGTGTTAATAAATACTTATTATAACTTATCTATTTTTATTAGAATTATATATTATTATAACAATTTTAATAACCACCAACATTTATTCACAACGTAAAATAAAACAACAAATTATTGAGTCTACCCCACGTCTACCCTACATCATAGTTTTACATTTTTTAAATAAAATTAGAACGACACTGATAAACCGGAATTTAAGTCGGCCATATTTGAGGCCCATCGCGGTGTACCTAAGATTTTTGATATGCTCCTTCCTTAGTCTTCTTATTCAAAGGGTCTGATAATTAGAAATATCAAAAGCTGATGACATATTACTTTTGACAATTATGACATTTCGTGTCGATTTTTGCAAGAAGAGGAAGAACTGTCACTTGTTTTATTATTTTCCTTTTCTATTTCACGAAAGTAAAAAGAGTTACCTATCTGATTCGTTCAGGCACTCAATTTAAAGAATATCAGTAACTTTTTTGGTAGAGGGATTTTATATTTGCCATGTTGTTAAAAAATAACGGTCAAAATTCAAAGTTATTCATTTTATAGACTATAGCTTCTAGCTTCTACTAAAATAAACTCACCCCAAAGACTAACCAATGCAATCAAGACACGCCGTAGGGTATTACATATTTACAGCTGTTACATATTACATATATTTTGGTTGATAGAAGCAAAAATAGCGTAAACAGGCTTTAGGTAACCTCGACTTACCTCTTTCTAAAATACCATTCAAACTAAGGCCTATAATCTTTCCATTGTGCACAGCCTTCAAATTAAGTCCATTGTCCAGTTCTTTGGTGCAATATTCTTCTAGGTCTATACACCTGGGCCGATCTTCACTTATCAAACCTGTCAATGAAAAAAGATCTCAATAAAATGACAGTATTTATTATTTTTACTGGCAATTAAAGTAAACTTCCTCGACAAATCATAACATTTAAAGATGGTTTTATTACGTAGATTGATGCAATAAATGTGGAAACTTGATGAATAATGTTTACTGTCTGTATATACCGGGTGCGTCTCAAAAGTGGCTCACCCTTATAACTTTTTTATTTTTTTATTTAAAAAACATGATTTGCTATGTTAGTATATGTCATAAAATAGAATTGATTGACGTATTCAATTGTTTTTGGTCACTTTCCGTTTCACCGGAAATTACTACAACTTTTGATTTTTAAATGGCACCATGGCACGCACCCTCGGTATATTTTTTTATACAAGACGATAAAATGGTATTTTATCGTATATTCACGTATCGTAATATCGGGAAATGCAATTTTATTGTCGTGTAGAAAACAATATCTTTTTCCATAGCGAGTTACGTTTTAAAAAATATTCAGAAATTATTATTTCAAGGAATTTATTACGGGTAGAAAAAATATTGTGCTGGGTTGGTTTGGCTATGCAATTTGACAAATAAATAAAGCTGTCTCTTTAGTTGTTAGTTTTGAGCATAGACAAACAAATAAAAAGAGACTCGCAAATTAAATGGCAAAGAGAGGGACAACGTTCCCGTAGCGCAACGCAGAACGCAAAATTTCGTTCTATTTATGTATGTTGATCTGTGCATTGCGTCTATTGAGCCCACTATCTCATTCTAATATAACAAGAGAGAAAGAAGCAGCCATATAAAACGTAATTTCTAAATAGAAATTAGAACAATCGCCTTTCGTTTTCGTCATCATGACAACCAAGATGACAACATCATGACAATTCGTCATGTTTGTTAATTTTTCTTTTGGTGATTTACCTTTTTTTCTAAACTCTCCATTTTATTGACTTATGAATATGGATAGGGAACAAATTCCTTTGTTCCATATAGGTATTTATATTTTGTTACTTATAATTTTAGGTTATACTATTTGTTATTTTATTTGCTGCAGGAGCCAGTATCAACTATTTTTTATATGTATTGGTGCCCCCTTTCTCTGATAGATATGTTAACACCCGGTAAAATAAAAGTAAGTATTTTTATTTATCATCTTATTAAGAAAAAAGTAGGAGTAGTAGTGTCAAAAATATTTCGAACTTCTCTTAACATAACAAGTTAATACCATTAATTTTTTTCATTTTTAGGGTAGGTAGTTTATAGCTGGTTTATAGTAACCAGAAACTTTATTAATCATTTATTAATATATCTATTTTACTTTTGTTTTAGGATTAAAACTGGACTTGAAAATTGAAAATGGTTCAGGATCATGATTCTCGTAAAGTCTTCTTTGCTTGGATATTCACTTTGTTATTGCAATTAGGCAGTTTTTTCGAAAATTAGATTTTTAATGCACTTTAAAAAATTGGCCGATCGTTTCCTGCAACAGTCAGTTCTTCTGCATTTACCTACTTACTAAAATTGGTAGGTGGGTGGAATAAATACTGTTATTTTTTGTTATTATATTATAAAAAGTTTATTTATTTTTATGTATAAATAAATATGTTTATAAAACAGTACAATTTTTGCTTTTTTTATAATTTCCCTTATAATAGTAGTATTCTTTCGGTCTGAAAGAAATTGCAAATTTTCACTTAAACTGATTTATTCCCTACACCACGTTACCTTTACGTGGTATAGAGAATAAATCAGTTTAAGTGAAAATTTTCAGTTTCAGAGTGAAAGAATACTACCAATAATGGCTAATTTAAATTTTCCGCCAGCCAGAATGTGTGATAATGTCTTACGATACGTTTTATACCTATCTCTTTCTTTTTCATATAAAGCACACATAATAAAGAAAGATAGCAATAAAGACGTTCGTCTTGCCATGGTCCTGCTAATTGGTTTCAAAATTGTTATTCTGAGTTGGGGTGGTTTCACCCTTTTGGAACTGGAATTTCGAAAAATCCCTTCTTATCGAACCTCTACACCCTAGAATCAAGCTGTATGCCAAAATTGAGCTTCTTACGTTGAGTGGTTTGAGCAGGATCGTGATTAATCAGTATGTCAGTCACTTAAGGATTTTATATATTAGTATAGATTTTTGATAGATACGAGTATAAGGCAATTTCTTTGAATAAGAAGACTAAGGAAGGAGCATAATGCTATCCATGTATTCATGCATGGTGGGCGGAAAAGACACCATAAAAGCTCTCTAGGGTGGGGATTCTTGACAGTTCTGTTTGACGATTCATTTGACACATTTGAATTTGATTTGAAATTTTGTGGATTTGTCAGTCTTTATGGAGCTTATTTTATGTTATTTATTATTTATTCTACTACTGATAGTTGTATAAAGGTAGTAAATCGGTACTACCTTAATTATAATTCCTGATTAACTACCTTAGGCGGTGTAAATTTAATTATTCAGCTCACATGACTGGTTTTCTACATCGATCTAAACGAATCGGCACAAAACGTACAAGACATGTTAATCTTAATCTTTCCCGACAATCTACTTAGGCAATTCTTCATCCGTTAAGCATAAAATTAAATAGAATTAACTCACGTCAAGTTACAGTAGTTTAATTAAACCAATTAAGAATGAGGTAGATAATATGATGATTTGTCGAAAAACTGGTTTAAATAAGAAAAAAAAACAGGAGAAATTACAAGCGTGAATACCTTTCCTGAAAGTAATATTAGCCCGGTCAATTTAGACATTCGAAGGTAAATAAATTTACGACAAGCTGAAAATGCGTGAAATTGTTTAAAATATAATTAAAAATAACATTTTAAAATTCCGAATCATTCCGGTGCCTCGAAAAAAATTTGGTTTTCCCAGTAGGACTATTCCACATGTCTGTTGTGATTTTGTTTAATGAAAACTATTGCAGAGGAAAAGCTATTAGTAAGGATTGGAAATTATAAAAGCAACGGAAATAAAAAAAAAATTAGAAATTTACTAATCTGATTCATAACCTTCAAACACTTCTTCTTGTTGTTCTTCTTGATCTTAGTCTTGTTCGTTTTCTTTATCCTGGATGTAAGTAAATATCGTCAATAATGATGTATCGCATGTTTCTTCGTTGGTATCAAACGAATAGGTTTGATATCAACGAAAAAACATGCGGTATACAGCACTATTGACGCAATTTACTTACATCCAGGATGAAGAAAACGAACAAGACGATGATCAAGAAGAAGAAAAAAATCAAGAAGAACAACAAGAAGTATTTGAAGGTTATGAATCAGACTATTTTTTTTATTTTCATCGTTTTTATAATTTCCAATCCTTACTAATAATATCTTTTCTTCTGCAATAGTTTTTAATTAAACAAAATCACAATAGACATGTGGAATAGGTCTACTGGGGAAACCATGTTTAAGAAAACGCTCTATAAGTACACTACCTCATACGTGGCGGAAACATGTGCATATTGTGACGATTACAACCCTTTGACTCAGATACAGTGGCGGATAAAAGTATGGAAAGATTTTTTATTTCCTATTTTATCTCGCTCAAACAAATAATACAGCATAAATATTTTGGTATGCTAACAACCGCATAAATATATCAAATATTCACAAGATAATTTTTTATTCTATCTACATTGTTTATTTTTACCAACATATTTTGTTTACGCTTCGGACAACAGTATAGAAAGCTTTTTCTTGTTCATATTTTTGCTGTTGTGATCGATTTGTTTAGTTTGATTTTATTGCAAAGGCAAGCAACATATTGTTAAAAATGGGTAAAAATAAGTATTTGTCTGAGAACTTACGCAACAGAGTTATAGAGTTAAAAAATAGAGGTGTTAAACAATGTACAATTGCCAAATCATTAATGATTTCAGAAGGAGCGGTTTCGAAAATTTTAAAAAAGTATCGAACATTGGGAGCTACAACTAACCGGCCAAAATCGGGGCGTCCCCGAAAAACCACCCCTTTTATAGAAAAATCCATTAAAAAGATTTCTCTAGCAGACCCACACAAATCTTTCCGGCAAATAAAAGAGGAAATCTGTGACAATTTCAATATCAATGTTACTGATCGCACGCTTGTGTGAGGTAGGACTTCTAGGAAGAGTGGCCGTTAAAAAACCCTTGCTCTCAAAAAGAAATCGGAAGAACAGAATTCAGTTTGCTCAAAACCATTTAAATTGGACATCTCAAAATTGGAACACAGTGCTCTGGAGTGATGAGAGAAAATTTAAAATATTTGGTTCTGATGGTAGATCATTTGTGAGAAGGCCAGTAGGTAAAAGATATGATGCAAAGTACCAGAAGCCAACAGCAAGGCATGGTGGTGGTAGTGTTATGATCTGGGGGTGCTTTTCTCGAGCTGGGGTTGGTCCTCTAGTAAAGATAGAGGGAAAAATGGATCGCTTTATGTACAGGGACATTCTGCAAAATAACCATTTGCCGACGAAGAGATGCCCTTAATATGGAGATTCCGGCAGGACAATGATCCCAAACACGCCTCACGATTGGTAAAAAATTGGTTTGTGGAGGCAACCGTGGATGTTTTGGAATGGCCTTCTCAGTCGCCAGACTTAAACCCAATTGAACACCTTTGGGAGCATTTAGAAAGAAATATTCGATTAAGGGCTATTCACAATGCGACAGATTTGTGGGAAATACTCCAAGATGAATGGCAGAACACTCTTTTGCAAAATTTGTCAAAACCTTGTGGATTCCATGCCAAGAAGATGTAAAGCAGTCCTTCAGGCTAAAGGTTACGCAACTAAATATTAGATTTTAGGATTTGTTTCTTTATAAAATTTTCTTTCCATACTTTTGTCCACAGTAATTTTTATGTTTTTTAGTAAAAGAAAAATAAGAAATTATTTTTGAAAATTAAAACTAAATATCCATAAATTACAAAACGTTGTTTCATTTAATATACGAGGCATGTTTTTTAAGTAAGTACCGTTTTGGAATTAAAAAAAAACGTGCAAAGATATCGCAATAATTTTATTTTTACATGAAAGCCTGTACCTTAATCTACTTTTCTACATAATTTCCGTGAATATTGAGGCACTTGTCATAACGTGGCACCAGTTTTTCAATACCCTCCTCATAAAATTCTGCCGCCTGACTGATTAACCACTGTATCACAACTGTTTTGACTTCGTTATTCCATGGACTGTTGTTTCGATTCTGGTGTGACGTAGGCCACCCATGTTTCGTCACCAGTAACAATTTTGTCTAAAAAATCTTCACCTTCATTGTGGTACTGCTCAAGGAAAGTCAATGCACTGCTTAAACGTTGGGTTTTGTGCAAATCCGTCAACATTTTCGGAACCCAACGTGAACACAATTTCCGGTAATTCAAGTTCTCGGTCACAATGCGATACAAAACACTACGAGAACATTGAGGAAAGTAGTCGCACAATGATGAAATTGTAAAGCGTCTGTTTTCTTTCACCTTTTCGTCCACTTTCTGCACCAAATCTTTATTAACGACCGAAGGACGCCCACTCCGTTTTTCATCATGCACATTTGTGCGGCCATCTTTAAATGCTCTCACCCATTTCCTTACCATTCCATCACTCATAGTGTTTTGTCCGTAAACTTCACAGATCTCACGATGAATATCGATCGGTTTTACGCCTTTAGCACTAAGAAATCGTATGACAGCCCGTACTTCACAATCGGCGGGGCTCACGATGTCGGAGGCATCTTAAACACTCAATAAACAACGTATACAATGAAGAATCAGACTGTACTGGCGTCTGTGCATAGACAAGAGATGTAGGTAACCAGCGCGCATGCGCGGAACGCCGACCGTAGCGCTGCGGCGGCGGAATCGCAAAACGGTACTTACTTAAAAAACATGCCTCGTATTTAAAATAAGTTTAAAAAGAAAGTTACACAAAATATTTTAGAAAAAAAAATCTTTCCATACTTATGTCCATCACTGTATCTCAGAAACAGTGGCTCTAAGGAAAAAACTATTGATACATTTTTTATAGAGAATTTTATGATCTATAATTTTTGTCTGAAGTAATTTTATGATAAAACTTACCGTTTTGCTGAAAATCGCGAAAAAACATGTTTTTTTTAGATTTTTGAGCTTTGACTTTGCATAATTTTTTTCCAGACACCGGAATGATTCGGAATTTTAAAATGTTATTTTTAATTATGTTTTAAACAATTACACGCATTTTCAGCTTGTTGTAAATTTATGTACCTTTACTCAATTTTCTGGTCTAATTTGACCGGGCTAATACACCTTGCGTGTCACTTGTATTTCGAGAAAAATTTTATTTCAAGATAATATATTGGCATTACCTAAATAGTTATTCAGTGGTTCATCTTTGAAGAAAAATTCCCTCAAAAAGATGAGAATGTCTTCCTTATCTGCCGACGTTGCCAACTGTATGTCATATTCTTTGGGACTAACTGGGGTGGTGGGGGTAATCGGTGGTGACATTGGTTCGTCCAAGGACTGAAAAAAAACGATAATCATCGGTTAGAATGAATAATTTATATAAAAATAACCAGGAAAAGTTATTGTTTATGTTATATATTAATACCAATTTTTATTATATTCTATTTTCTAATAGATAGATAAATAGTTTTTCTGCCGGTTATATCATATCTCTCCGTTATATCGATGACAAATAAATCAATCAGGCAAGCAGCAATCCATCAAATGTGACATATTTTTTAGTATATACATATTTTAAAGTTTAAATAACAAATTATCGATTAAGAGACGAAATGAATATATTAATAATGTCGTTAAATAGAAGCATTTTTATATCCTTGACAAACTCGTATATGGTTCAGAGTAGCAAAATGTTTTCATTGATATAATTGATGGGGTGACTGCAATAACCAAGCAGCACCACTTTTTAGGTTTTAAATCGTCCAATCGTTCCCTGTAACTATTAATATACCGGGTGCGTCTGAAAGGAGGCTCACCCCCAATATTTTTTTTATTTTTTCGGATAAAAAAACGAGATTTGGTATGTTAGTGTATGACATACATTAGGATTTATTAACGTACTCAATTGTTTTTCGTCACTTCCTGTTTCACCGGAAATGACTACAACTTTTGATTTTTAAATGGTACCTTTAGTATTTTTTACTCTACTCAATAGAAAATGATACTCTAAATAGAATGACATATGATATGTCAACTCTTGACATTTTCGTTTAAAAAAATATTGTATTATAAATTTCAATCTAGAGTTCCATCTTCTTCTTCTTCTTCGGGTTCCATCTCCTAATGGAGGTTGGAAACCATCATGGCAATTCTAACTTTGTTAACGGCTGCTCTGAATAACTGGTTTGAAGTCATTCCAAACCATTCTCTCAAATTCTTGAGCCATGATGTTCTTCTTCTTCCTTGGCTCCTTCTGCCCTTTACCTTTCCTTCTATTATGTTCTGCAGCAGGGCATATTTAGGTCCTCTCATTATGTGTTCAAAGTACTCAAGTTTTCTCTTTTTAAGGGTGTTAATCACCTCTTCGTCCTTCTGAATTCTGCGTCGCAGTTCTACATTTCTAACCTTGTCAGTCCATGCAATCCTCAGCATACGCCGATAACGCCATCTTTCGAATGCCCCAAGCTTCTCCATTTCCGCCTTTTTAAGTGTCCAAACCTCTGAATCATAGAGTAGTATCTCTTAGCATTCTTAATCGGCTTTAAGTTGATGTCTCCACTGCAGAGACATTTTTTGAGTTTTACAAAGAATGTTCTGACTATTTCTATTCGAACTTTTATTTCTGCTGAGTAATCCAAGTTTTCGGTCAACCAACTGCCTAGATATTTATATTTTTGTACTCTCTCCATAGGTGTATATCATCTATTAGAACATTGGCTTGGACATCTGTGAGAGTGATATCTGTGCCATGCCTGTGTTAAAAACACTAATTTTTAATCAAGGAGCCTTGGAAAAATAGATTTGATTGTCTAATGTTTTTAGTGTCTTGTTCTGACCGGTTAAAAGATGCCCAAATCGTATTTTTAATAATATCTCGTTTTTTTTCAATGGAGGGTGGCTCATTGGCATATTTGGATAAAGCATTTTTTTACGAATAATTTGGTACCACACATCTGGTATTTCGAGTCAAACTGTCGTTATCAACCGCATGTTGCGATTTCAAATAAACCATATGAAAATCTCAAAAGTTGACATATATGTCATTCTATTCAGAGTGTCATTTTCTATCGAATAAAGTAGAAATATACCGATCTATATTTAATTACTGTCCTCTATTTTTAACAAATTAATATAATATTAGTTGAGCACTCTTTTTCATCACTCTAAAGAAGTTCTCCTTTAAAAACATAAGATACTCTATTTTTTTCTTGTCGTATGTAAATGCGTGTTGTAATATTAATTAACACCAATATTTTTTTCCTGGTTTATACAATTGTACTCTTTGTTTTCGAAAATTTTAACTATTAGACTCATTAAAAATGGCGCGCCTCATATTTACAAGTGCAAAATATGTACGTTACACAGTCACAAACATACTATTTTTTTGTGTTGTTGTATGGGTTCGTTAAGTATCCTGGTTGAATACTGTTATATACGAATTTATTATAGGTATTTTTTAAGATAGACATGCTTTTTTACAATCACGTTCAAAATATATTTTTAAAAAGGAGACATTTTCAATGTTTTCAAGTTTTTTGTTGTTTTTAATTGGGGTTTTTATTGTATACTGTTATTTGCAAGTTAATTAATATGTTTCTAAAGTTTATTAACAGGTTGTTCATAATAAGGTCATAATTATTCATACGAAAACCGTTGACGTTCTGTTTTAAAAAACTAAAGTGTTCTCGAATAGTTGCATTTAAATATTTTAAATACATTTTTTCTTTGTTCTTTGTGTTTTTTGCTTCCGACAACGGAAAGAGATACAGCGCTTTCAGATGGAGCGGACCGTCCGCGACTTCGAGCAAATATCATGAGTTTATTTATGAACAATTTCACATGGACGCGTATGCTCCGTCCGACGGCTATATTAAAAAATCGGTAAAAAAACTTTTAAGTTAAACGGTTTTATCTTATGTGCACTGAAAATTAGAAAATAATAATAACAATTAGGTATTTTGAACTTCTAGTTCAGAAATATTTTAGTACTAGGCAGAATAGCTTTTAGGCATATTAGACTAAAATAAAAACGTGGGGCCCATTAACTATTGCTGTAATACTTTCTTCTATACTAAGTGTGGATTGCATCGACTTACTATAATCGTAACTGGAGATTTTGACAATCAATAACCAGCCGTGGCGGTTTCACCAGCGAACGCCGAGCTCATGATCTACCAAAGTATAAAGATATGCTTTGCCATAGGTAGGATTTCAGAGGGGCTCCACGTTTTTATTTTTAGTCTAATATGCCTAAAAAGCTATTCTGCCTAGTTCTAAAATATTTGAACCAGAAGTTCAAAATACCTAATTGTTATTATTATTTTCTAGTTTTCAGTGCACATAAGATAAAACCGTTTAACTTAAAAGTTTTTTTACCGATTTTTTTATTTTCTAGTTTTTAGTATTTAACGGAAATGCTTACCGAATATTCCTCATTCTATTTAATTCATTTAGTGCATCATTATTACATGGTTTTACCTGATAATTTATTTTTGTTTGTTTTTTTATTTATTGTTTCCATGTTGTTCCCACGAGTAATGGACATTTTAACGGTCGATCCCCCAGAGGTCCAGTAGAGGGGCAAGGCTATATACAACAAGAAGCGCCTAATCTTGAGGGGGGAAAACGCTTGCGACATTACATTTTTAGCCACCCTAATGTCATACAGTCCTCAGCACGTTTTAACCTATTACCTTAACTTGGGTGATAAAGCTACCGCTAACTACGTAGGTACATCTAATCACCTATTTTTTTATCTGTCCTTCTAACGTCACACAATCTTGACACAACTGTTCTGGACACGACTACTCATGCTCTCACCTAATACGCCATTTTGTAACGACGTCCATCTTGGATTTTAAATTTTGTCATAACCACAGTATTCTACAAGGTCATAATTATTCATACAAAAAACCGTTGACGTTCTGTTAAAGTCAACCGCGCGCGTTTTTTGTAGACGTATCTGTTTTAAAAAAATATGAAATCCGCCATTCTCGAATAGTTGCATTTAAATATTTTACAATAATTTTTTCTTTGTTCTATATTGTTTTGTCTTCGACAACTAAAAAGTGTGTACAGCGCTTTCAGATGGAGCGGACCGTCCACGACTTCGAGCAAATATCATGAGTTTATTTGATGAACAATTTCACATGGGCGCGTATGCTCCGTCTGACGGCTATCTTAAAAAAACACGACGCGGACGCTCCGCTCCATCTGAAAGCGCTGATTATACTTCCCGAAACGTTAAGCATTTTTTTGTCCGTTAGGCAAATTTGTTTATTACTAAACCACTGCTGACAGTTAGTCTCCGTTGGATTAACGCCGCAGTGTTTACAAAAAATAACTATTTTATTTTGTAGATTTTCCTTCACAGTGGCAAAATGCCCATATGAATTTTTTGGAGAGATGAATCCGCCACAGACGCACAGACAGAGGTATAGACATTTTTAGCCAACCATACCAACAGGTATGGTAGGTTATTAAGATCGGCAAAAAAAAAGGTTTTTTTTAATTTCACTCACAAAATATTTTCATGGTGTCTGTCTGTCCGTCTGTACACGATAACTCAAATGCCGGTTTAACGATTTTAACCAAATATGGCACAAAATTCTGTGGCATCCGAGAATCTGGCAATTAGTTTTTGGTGGTGGTGGGGGGTTGGTAAGGGGGTATGGGAGGGGGTTAAATATTTTAAAAAATTGTAACTCCAAAATTACACTAGCTAGCGAAACGCCGGTTTTTAATTTAAGATTAGGAATAATATTTGCAACAAAATTTGTAATAACATCAAAATCAGTCAAAGTTGCAGTTTTTGAGATATTCCGTGTTTCCGTAGTCCGTTTTTGAGAAACTCCATGTGCAGAACTCCAAACTCCCATCGGACGCGACCCCAGATGGCGGATAGGGGAAATAACCGCGGACCAAAATTGGGAAAAATTCCTTCACTTTGAAACTAAAGGAATTGCCCCAATAACAGAACAGGAAACAATGGCATCCATAAAACAGCTTAAAAACAACAAATCAGCTGGTTGTGACGCGATCCCGGCGGAAATCTATAAGTGTACAAGTAAAGAACTTATTGGTCATCTTAAGGCTCTCTTCGATGTCATATGGGAAAGCGGAGAGGTACCTCAGGACTTTTGCAACGCGAATATAGTGAATATATTTAAGAACAAAGGAAGTGCATCAGACTGCGGAAATTACCGGAGAATTTCACTATTGGCTATCATGTGTTTGATAAGATTTTTCTTTAAATTTCGTTAACAAGAATGATAGGGGTAGTTTATTTCAACCCCTTCCCCTCATTTTAAAAAAGTGAAAAAATTACCAGAAAGTGT